AAAATTATGCAGTACACTAATCTACTGATCTACGGGAAAGCTTTATCGAATGTTGGTGCAGCCAGGCGTTTGTACAGGGAGAGATTTCGCGGTCGCCAAGTTCCCTGTGAACGTACCTTTGTGAATGCTGTCCGGCTTTGTTAAGGAATTATGGTATTTTTAGTCCTGTCAACCGAAATCAAGGCCGTTCAAGATTTCGGCATGTCTTGGACTTGGAGCCTGAAATTCTGCAAGCTGTTGAGGAAGAACCGAATGTTAGTTGCCGACGACTTGCATTACGAATGGGTGTTTCCAGTTTTACAATTTGGAGAACGCTGCACGAACAAGGATAACATCCTTATCATCTTCAACGTGTCCAACACTTAAAACCAGAAGATCCACCACGTCGAATTGCATTTTGTCGATGGCTTCTTCAAAAAATCGACAAAGAACCCAATTTTTTAACCATCCTCATAACCACAGATGAAGCAGGATTTACTCGAGATGGAGTTTTCAATTCCCATAATACCCACATCTGGTTAGAAGAAAATCCACACCAAATCCGAGAACGTAGTTTCCAACAAAGATTTTCGATTAACTTGTGGGCAAGTATCATTGGAAATCGTTTGATCGGGCTACATGTCTTACCTCCACATTTAAATGGTGAAGGATATTGAATTTTTTTTACAAAATGAGCTGAGTGACCTTTTGGATGACACGCTGTTGCAAGATCGAAGGGATATGTGGTACTTACATGACGGAGCGCCTGCTCATAGTGCACGAGGTGTTAAAAATTGGTTGGACGCTAATTTAGAAAATCGGTGGATAGGTCGTAATGGACCAGTTTTATAGCCAGCTCGTTCACCGGACTTAAATCTTTGTGACTTGTTGGTGAGAACTGAAGCTTCTATGGCTCGAAGGGCAGAAGCATACATCGATAAAGGAGGGCGTCACTTCGAACGTTTAATTTTGAAAGTTAGTGTCCTCGATCAAGTGTAGTGCGTAACTTGAATGTCACTCTCACTTACTACGAATAAAGAATTGGTTTTTGCTTGACTATTTAAGTTTTTATCTTCTTTCGCTTTTAATGAACGCAGGGAGACATTGGCGGGTACTAGAATTTACGATCAAACTAATTAAAATTTTGTCTGGGTTTAGAAAGATTTTTCGAAAAAATGGTAAAAAGTAATTTGTTTGGATGAGTTCTATCACCGTTTAAATTGTCTTAACTCATTTCAATAACATTATGTATAAGGAACCATTAAATATATCATTTTCTTTTCGTGAATGGTTTCTCGCTCCGAAATACAAATTTATTTTTTAGAGTATGTAAATTCGTTTAATGTATTTCTATCTTACTTTTATGTTATCGGTAATAATAATAAACAATTTACTTAAAAACTGAATACAGTTCTCTGGTTTGCTGTGGTTTACGTCAGTTTATAAATCAAACCATGCTTGAAGACATTTGTTTGTTTGTAATGGAAGAGGTCGGGATAAAAATATAAAAATTTAGATGCACAATACCAAGTAGTTGTCTAATGCTTCTTTATCACCTTGTATCCCTATAAATCGTACTTTATAGTAAAACAAAAAATTATTTTGTATGAAACCCTTGTATTATCTCACTTTAACTATTGTTCAGAAATATTTTCACCTTTTTCAGATGTACAAGTTAAATACAAGATACAAAAATTCGTGTATTATATACATACAGGGTGATTCACGAGGAATAATGAGCCTGACCAAATTTTTGATGCAACCAACATTACAGTTGTCGCAAAATAACTTGCGAAGAGTAATGGTGGTTGAGTCGAGAATTTGGTATTCGTAAATATGAACGAGTCATAAACTGGTGGAAATTAGTTGGTTTTGCGTGAAAGATAGATTTAAACTTTTGGCTTCAGTATTCTATTATAAAATAATACTGAACAAACAACCAAATTATTTATTTAAAAAATATATATATATATCCACCACATAGGTTAGTTCTTTATGAGAAATGGTTCACTTATAACTTGGCAAAGATATATAATTCTATTCCACCCTATTGCAAAGTGCAAAATTCAGATAGAATTCTGACAAAAAATGACGTTATGGTTGACTGCAAAGTAAAGAGTAAGATGTATTCTTTTTCTTCTTCTGTTTATATACTATATATATTGTTATATTTTTTTCACTTACTTGTAATTATAATAAAGTTTATTTCTGACTGGCTCACTATTAGTATTAGTTTTAGTTTAATTTTTTTTGTGTAGAATATTGTGTTATGTTGGGGTTAGGTGGTAGAGCAGAGGATCCACCTGAACCTCGCCTTACTTGTAGACAATTTGTAGATAATAAAAGACAATTATTATTATATATATATATGTCCAAGAGGACATGATTTCAGAATCTGTGGAAAGGGCAATTAGAGCTAACAATGTCGTAATGTATAATATCGTTGAATCTCCTGACAATTCGGAAGTCGACATAGTAAATGATGCACTTGCCGTTATTGACCCCAGCCTCGTTGTAACACCTGAAAATGTTTTTCGTCTCGGCAAATATGATAACAATAAATGTCGCCSATTGAAAGTGCGCTTYAAATATCCGGAGCAGGCGCGATTGTGTCTACGAAAAAAATCTTTSCTTTTAACTTCTCAACAATTCTCTCGTATAATAATTCAGGACGACAAAACTCCTTCTCAATCAAACTTTTTAAARGAATTACGTAAAGAKTTAAAAAATCGACAAGATTCCGGCGAATTAAATCTCACCATTAAATACATAAATCGTGTACCCCAAATCATAAGCACTCAAAAAAACCAATATCCGRCAAACCATTAAGCTTGTCTATATTATACACTAACATTGCATCAATCACGGCTAAATTTAACGATTTTTTACTTGAAATTAGTACTTCGAATCCTGACATAGTTGCCTTAACAGAAACGTGGCTAAGTTCAAACATACCTGACTCTGTTATTTTCATAGAGAACTATTTGTTGTTTCGTCATGATCGTATCAACGGTCGGGGAGGTGGAATTTGTATTTACATAAAAAAATCACTTAATCATCTTTTTACTATTGAAAAATTAGATACTTATTCCTTATTTTATGACTCTATATTCATTAAATTTTTAAATAAATCATTTACTTTTACTATCTGTTGCGTATATAGACCTCCAACTAATTCAAAATTTAATTCGCCTCTTTTTGATAGTAACTTAATACAATCACTTGAAACCTGTTTTACAGAGCTACCCARTTTAGTTGTTTTAGGCGACTTTAACTTTCCCTCTATTAACTGGGATTTAAATTCATACTCAGGAACGACTAATATCGAGAATGAGTTCATTGCAATGCTCAATAACAATAATATTTCCCAGTTGGTCAAGGAACCTACTAGATATCGTTTGACCCAATCACCCTCTCTTCTCGATTTGGTTCTTGTAAACGATAAAAACTTAATATCCCAAATTAAAGTTGTTAACCCTGTTGGTTTGTCTGATCACTGCTTGATTAATGTCTCAGTTCAGGTKTTACTATATGCTACTCCCAAAATAGTAAATAAATCATTTGCTTCAGTTTCATATGAATCGTTAAACGATGAGTTGGCTAAACATGATTGGTCGTACTATTACTATCTGGATTCGGTTGAACTGCAATGGGGTTATTTCACAAAAATTATTAATCATTACTTAAATAAGCACACTACATTTTATACCTCTAAAGTATTTTCTCGTAAACCATGGATAAAAGCAGAATAATAAATAAAGTAAAATTTAAAAAACATCTTTGGAAAAAATATAAAACTACAAAGATTGCACCAACTTTTTGTAATTTTATCTATTCTACAATAGTGGGAAAACCCCAATAAAAAACGCATCTCTTTTAGGGGGTGTAGCGCGCTTACATAACATTTTTTTATACATGTTCATAGGAAACTTTTGTCTTAAAATTGAATGTTCTATCACCTGTTTAAATTTGTAACAATAAAAACGGAACACTCTGTATAATTAAAAACATCGCTAAATATACAGGGCAATTCAGATAAGATAATGAACTTGACGACCTGGCGACACAACCCAAAAAACAAATTTCATTTACGTCTTGATCTAATTTTAATTAAGATTTGCATTTGCAATCCAAGTTATCTTATGTTGCTCTGACAGTGCTTTGACAAGCAATTTATGATTTATAAAAAAAAACTGTTTGCCTACCTTTA